GTAGTGAAGAGTACCGGCGCCGCCGCCACACCATGGACAAGGACAGCCGAGGGGCGGCAGCCACCGAGCACCGCTTCTTCCGCCGTAGCGTGATCTGCGACTCCAACGCGACGGCCTTGGAGCTACCCAGTTTGCAGCCCGCAGCGCCCTCGGCCCCTGTTTCGGGAGGCAGCGCCGCTCCGTTGGTCTCTCCTCCCGAGTGTGTCAGCCGGACTTCTTGCATCCCTGTCAGCGCTGCCCAGGCTCCCTCGCTGCTGCAGCAGCCGCCACCGCCTGCCCCGCTTCCCCTCGAAGGACAGTCCGCTCAGGAGCCCCCTGCCTCGAAGGATGCCGCCCCGCTGCTGCCCAAGGAGGAGGAGGATGAGGCAACCGCGCTACCCCTCACCAGCGCCGCTGGCAGCGCAACGGCTGCCAGCCGGGAATTTGAGGAGCGGAGAACGCAGCAGGAAGACATTGAAGAGCTTGAGACCAAGGCAGTGGGCTTCTCCCCAGATGGCCGTTTCCTGAAGTTTGACATCGAGATTGGAAGAGGCTCTTTCAAAACTGTGTATAAAGGACTGGATACGGATACCACTGTGGAAGTCGCCTGGTGTGAGCTGCAGGTAAAATAAATAAAAATGGTGAATTACTAAAGCGCAGTCACTCTCCCAGGTGCTAGGCTGTGTGCTTCAAGGAGGTAAAAATCTGTCAACTCGAGGCCTGCTTTATTCAGACAGGGAGCTGCAGACCTTACCTGAGGCACTCCTTTGGAAGAAAGGTGCAGCCTTTCCTTGGAGTCAGTTTGCCTTTTGATTCTTTTAAATACTCTGCTCACTGAAGAATTTTTTAGCTTTATCATCAAAAAAATGCACTGCAGTTCTGTTTCTTACAGCATCTTGCATTTTACGCCTCCAAAAGGTAGCTTGGAGGATTGTGAAAATTCTTGTACACAGCTTCAGGGAGGCTGAGGGAAAATGTGTAAGTGAATGTCAATGTGAGCTAGCCTTAGTTTTTCAAAATTTGTTTAGGTGTTTTTCTTAGAAAAAATATGAAAATGTTAATTTCACAGACATTTCATATGTTTGTGGCAGTGGATTCTTGTCGGAAGTAATACTAGAATATTCACGAAGTCATGTAGCGCATCACACTGTTTAGTTTTGCAGCGCTTTTTTTTTTTTTATTCTCAGTTCCAGGGTTCACACTTGATACAGGCACAAGGAAAGGAAGAAAGTAATTGTTTCCTTTCCGAAGCTTTAAAAAGTCCCCTGAAGTTTAACCTTTCCAAATGACTGGTGGATTACACTGGACTAAGATACTACTCTCCTACCAAGTTTCTGGCCTGAGCAGAGCCAGAGTTCTGTAGAAGCCCAGTCTAACAATGGCAAGAACACCCTTAGTTCCGCACGAGTCAGAGCTTGTATAACCAAGGCACAGGTTGCTGTGCAACGACCTTAAAAGAAGTGGGAAGAGCTTGGAGTACCAGGAACAAATAAATACGTTGTGTACTAGTTTGTTTTCAAAGCCACAGCATTAAATTAAAATGATAGTGCTTGTTTTCTAGTGTTGGGTTTCGATGCAATCCATAGAGGGGTTCATGTAGTATGGGTTTATTATTGCATACGTTCCCATCCAATTTAGGGCAGACAAAAAGTATTGGGTCAAAATCCCAGAAGTCTTTGAGGGGTTTTTAAGCAGTTAGCTGCTCACAAATGATAGATTGCCGTAATTGCACCAAAACTTTTTTCCCCTCAAAAGCCATTTTATATCTATTCCAGTCAAACTGAGAGAATTTAAGAGACTCCTTGACTTGTATTCATGTTTGCTTTTGGATGATTGCTCAGGCATTCTACCAGTATCTTGGTTGATTATGTTATTGCTGTTATTCTGTGCTTACTGACTGTGGAAGGAAGCTTCCAGTTTTCTTTGTGACCCTTAACCATGCCTTGCTCCTCCATGCTAGCTACGTACTTACTGTGGTCTTCTTTTGAGCATTAATTTTAGGTCAGAAAGTGAAATTACCCATGTTGGGCTCTGCTTAAACTGTTCATGTGCAGCTTGAACTGCGAGGAGATCAATAATCTACCAAAATTATATGACTTTTATTTGAAATTTTAATCTTTGCAGTTTTGGAGTTCCTTGACTTTAACCCCTGAAATCTGTTTTAAGCTTTACACTTGACTTACTGGCTAGAAACTAAAGTCAGCTTGGCATCAGTCACTAAGCTAACGTTGCCTCTGTTGAAGTGTGTTAATCATCATCGGTACCATGTGGACAAACTGTCTAAAGAAGCGCCTTCTTTGAAGCAATTTAATAAAGAAGCTCCTTTATAAAGAGTGTGTTGCCGAGCCTTCAGTTGATTGAAGAATTTCATGAGTAGTACTTAAAATAACAGATTGCAAAAAGCATGAATGAAAAGATTTGTAAGGGGGAAATATTTGATGTTTTGCCTGGGAGTTAACTACGTTACAGGAGTGCCTTGTGGGTTAAATTATTCTGAGGGCTGTAGTTTTCCTCTCATAAGGAGACTGCATACGTCTTTGAAACAGCAATATAAATTTTATAGCTGTTAAAAGTATTTGCTAAAGGAGCTAGACTCTACAGCTAGTAGAATATTTTAAGATTAAGGCCTGTTCTATTGTTTGCATTTAGAAATAAAAGGAGGAACTTGGTATTTGTTGGTATGATGGGTATGTCGTTCTCTAGGAAAATATAATTGTTGACAGGTTAGTGATATTTGTTACGCGTGATTTGTATCAAAATACAATCTGGATTCACAGAGATGGACTGAAATTTAGATGTTGTTGGTCTTCCAGAATGCCCTGGTTTGGTGATTGGTGAACCTTCAAAGCATAATTATTTTATTAGGGAAATGTGAATGGTTTTCTTCTGTGCTGTCTTACACCAACCATAATAACTAACTGATGATTACTTTTAATTGTATTGAAATAGTGTTCCTTAGCAATAGAATAGCTTTTCTTCTCTGTATTCATGCTAGGAAGCGTAGGCATCCTAGGTGTCCCACCTCTCTAGAGTCTTCCAAACAGTGCTACTGTAGTGCTGCCGGAATGAGGCTGCTTAGCATGATTATGCAGACTAAGTTGTTCCTCTCATGGCTTGTCCAAAGTTGATAAGGGTGTATCACAATTCTTGATTGCAAGATGTATAACAGAATGGGGTGAGAACAGCTTGTACTTTTTCAGAGTCTTCGGGTGTATGTTCTTTTCAGGCTCTTCTAGTGTACCTTGAATGCTTCAGTTTCTTTAAAATTTCTGCTGTTTGGAAGGAAGCAAGATGCCAGCTGCTTTCAACTCAGTTAAACTACAGTGTTTAAGTATTGGAGCAAATTATGTAGTAGGAATCTTGTGAATCAAGGACAGCACAGAAGACTTTGTGATGGTCTCTGGCAGAATTACTTTTTAATGCTGAATAATGCAACTATACCTGACTTTTATGTATGTGCTCTGTAGTGATAAAGTGTAAAATCTCACAGTGTCAATAGGCTTCCTTTTGAAGGGAGTTTGGGTGCTGTTTATCAAATGGAGCTTGGGTTTCCAAGCTTCTGCTGATACTCTGGAAAATATTGCTCCATATCCTTAAGAACGCTCTCAAACTGCCTTGTAATGCCCCTTATGCTTGATGTACTGAACTGTGGAGGAAGTGGAAGGAGAAAGAGCTGAAATTCTATGGGCGACCTAATGTTGGTGTTAATATCTCCAGCAAGGAAGGTCCTGGCCAAGACTCTAATTTTTCTTGATCTGTGGAAGATGGGAAGATTCGATTTGAAGGAATTGAGTATTTCAAGGTTGCTTATAGATGTGCAACATAAATCCTAATAAAGGTGTGGCTGATGGGCTATCCTAGTTTACTATGTGGCCTGTCTATATGAAGCAAACTGTAGCCTAATCTAGTTTGAATATTGGATGCAGGTATTTAAATGTGAAGTAACTACCAGGCTGTGAGCATGCGTGAGCTGTGAAGAGCTCAGCAGCAACTGCTTAGGGTCAATGCTCAGCTTCAGTTACTGCAAGGAAATTGCTAGTGTAGCGTTAGCCTTCAAACACTTTTATTCCCATTGTATACATTCATCTCAACTCTAGTTATTCTGAGTCAAGTGTGCCTCCTACTGTTGTCACTAGCACATCTCATAAATCGAGTGTAGTGGTAGTTAGGGTTAGTGCTTTAATGGTCTTTAAGTAAGTAGAAGTCGGCAAAAGTGGTTACTGCCCCTGTTCTCTATTTTAATTTAAAATAACTCTTCCTGTACAGCCTACAGTGTGTATAACACACTAACCTGTGTTACTGGTTAGTCTTTTTAAATTACATTTCTGAGCAGTAAGTCTTTTGTCACCTCTGTACAGTTCAGGTAACATTGTGGCTAAAATGTGATACCTTTTCCTGTTGCATTAAGTTTATCTATGCGAAGTAATACTCTTATGCCAAAGGTAGTAAGAGTCACGTAGTTGACTGTAAAAGCCAAATCTTGGGGGTAGTATGTCATCCTCTGGGTCCTGTTGCAGTTTGAGTTGGTTCTAAATCAAGACTGTCATTTAACTTCTGGTTTACAGAACAATACAGGGTGGTGCAGTCACTTACTGGATGGCAAAATCTTGTGTCTAGAATTATTGCTCTGGGTGCTGTCATTCAAATTAGTAACTTTTCAAATAAGAAAGTGCGCTTGATGATATGGAAGGTAAATTGAGCTTTTTTTTTTTTTTGAACTATATGTTGTCAGGCATTTGAAGACTTAACCTTCTTTTATTTGGACAGTGTCTTCTCTTAAAGAAAGCATAATTTAGAAACTGTTAGAAAGATATTTACATTAGTTGAAAACACATTCCTGGTAAACTGTGCATTGGAGAACTGCACCGCTTGTCTGGTATGTGTGGTATCACTCCTGTACTTTGTGTTTCTTTGACAGAAAGGGTAGGTTGGTCAGTCAGCACTTAAGAGTTCATGAATGCGTCTTCTTGCTGGTATGTCACTTTGCCATTGTCACTCTGGTTTCAGTGCAGTGTTAGGTTGTTGTGCTTAACATGTGAGCTGCTGAAAGGGAAAAGGAGGTTGAGGGCTGTCTCTAAGCAAGATAGAGCTTCTAGGGGCAAGAAATGAGTTTAGGAGGTGAAAGTGGTGCAAGAAGAGTATCTTGCACTCGTTACTACTTTGAGAGGAAGCTGAATGTGAATTGGGTTACCTTTAGTTTTAAATTTTCTGAGTAATAAACTAGTGTAGGTTACATGTATGCAATTCCGTTGCAGACTGTTAACTATAGACCAAGTGTAGTGTACAAATAGTCCAACTTAGAAATGGATTTTTCTTTACGTAGGCAGTAGCAATGAAAAAACAGTTGAGAACAAGCATAATGTCATAACCAAATGTGAACCATGAGATTCTGTAGTGCACTCTGGTAAAAAATTATAATGCAACTGTTCAGCACTTTATTACAGGAAGTAGTGAGGTGCTAAATAGTATTTCCGTATGTCAGAATTTTTGAGTGTAACAATGTATAGAAGTTAACTTAAAACTCACAGTACAGGAAGTTGCTTGGGTATGATGTATATCTTCATTTTTAGTGACACTTCAGATTTAACTATACCTATCTTTATCTCTTAGACTTAAAGCTTTG